AAAAAAAAAAAAAAGGGGGGGTGAATTTATTACAAGAATTTGGTACTCATTGAGAAATGGCTGAAGAACCAGGTAATGGTGGGCACAGGAAACAGGCTGTTCTGGGAATTGAGGTAGTTGGAACCAACAGGGGATCTCTTAAAGATACCATTATTGAGTTTAATGAGTGCCAATCATTTTGTAGTGTTTGTATTAAATCAGATTTGAGTCCCTACCTGAGGGACAATCCCACTAAGACTATAACCAGTAGGAGAGCAGTTAGTCTCCAGACAAAAATCATCAGCTGTTACAAGAAGACAAAGACAGATGCTAGGGTTTGGGAGGTGGGGTGGGTAGAGAGAAGATTGCCCCTTCTGCACCACCAGTAAGGTGTTTTCATCTTCATGTAGACTTTTATGTACTAATTTTGTGACAGTGACTAGTTAATACACAGTGCTAATGTAGTGTGCCTATATCAGCACATTTCTTGCTTAAACTGTAGGTTCACGTTGTCGTTGGCTATCATTATGAAGTACACAGGAGTGAGTGCTCAACATTCCACTGAAGATGTGTCTCCCTTCCCCCTTCCCCTTTATGGCACAGATTCTCACAGGATTCATTCATACTTATTTTATGTTCTTGCTCTTTTGTTGTTGTTGTGGGGATCACCTTCAGGACCTGGAACATGCTAGGGAAGTGCTCTACCACGGAGCCCCTATTTTATGTTTTCTTTAACACGCAGGTGCACCTAAATCTCACCATTCTTGGATACCCATAAGTTAAGTATTGTTACATATTTGGAGGAAATACCTGTATTTCACCCATGGATGTCTTCATGATTCCTTCAAGAAGTCTCTAAATAGACCAACATTTTTTTTATTTGCTTTTTCATTATGGAGTTTATTTTAGGGCTCCATGTGAACCAATAGTCATGCAGAGTTCATTCATTTATGTCCTTGGATCTTTCATTTTAAGATTCTGACAGCTAAAGCAGTATTTGCTCTTCCCTTTCCATGGCAAAATTGAAATAATAATTTAAAAGGACACATTTTAAAGCCTCATTTTTAAAAGTCCCATCAGCACCAACACGGGTGTAAACCCTGGCATCCAGGGCTGCTGTGCTTCAAGGAAGGGCAGAAATGCCTGGGTGATTATCGACTGGGTGGCTTTGTTTTACAACTGGTAAGAAAGTGACACACGTTTGTTGAGCAGCCCTGACTCTTCTTCCTCTCACTCTCCTCATCAGTCCATCAGCCATCCTCTGGAACCACCGCTAAGCATCAGCATGCATTCTTGTTTCTCCCCATTTCCCTCGCCAGTGGATAGCAGTGAAGTCTCCTGCAGATACCCAGCTTCCACTCACAGGCAGCGGCCAGTTATCCTTCAACAACACAGAGCGTGACACTTCCAGGCCAGAGCCCTCACATGGCTTCCTGGCACCCCCAGAATAAAATCCTAGGTCCTCCCTAGAGCCCACCTCAGGGCATGTATGTGCAGCTCTCTCTGCCGCCCACCCTCAGCCCCCAGGAGTTCTGCACAACTTGCTCCTTCCTACCTTAGGCTCCGTTCTCATGCAGGTGTCTGGAGAGACCACAGGGATCCATCCCCCTTTTTATGCCCCAGCCAGCCCCATTCCCACTCACTCTTCACCCCTCCACACCATACATAATATAAGCTGCAGAACACTCAGTCTGAAGTTGTCACATCACTCCTCCATGGGGAGATAAGCAACATCAGAATAGGAATTGAGTCTGAATTGCTGTTGATCCTCAGCCCCTCACATGCTGCCTACATCCTCCATTAATTCTTGTTGAATGAATTTTCCTACTTCTGAATACAAAATGTTAGTTCCTATGAGCTAGTTATGAAGCCAGTTTTCATGATGGAGACAATTGATGTGAGTGCTGAAGGTGAAAGTCTAAAAACTAGGCTTTATAAAAGACTCTGGAGATGCCAGTCATCTCAGTGGCCTCCTGTATGATACTAGGTCATATTTTCACCGAAGAACTGTCTGTATCTCAGCAAGATCAACAATGTCAATGTTAAAAAAAATTTAGTCTTTAAAAAATGTTATGATATTTGCTGGCTATTTTTCTTTAGTTTTAGAAATTAATGAAAATGTCATACCTTTCCTTTTTTTGATCATATATTATTGCTAAGTCTAACGGATTGATTTTTCAACATTGTGCCTGCCAATACTTATAAAATCACATATAAGTGTCCAAATGAATCCATATTGTTGGCTATAATCTTGATCATGCCTTCATTTCTTCTTTCTGGGGGGAAAGGTATTATGACAGCCTTAACATATTGTGCTATTGATTAACTTTCTATGAATTATTAAATGGTTAAATTATATGCCACTTAAATTTATTTTATTATACCATCAATAGCTGATTAAAAAGAACTAAGTATTTCTAGAAAGAAAAAAAAAACAAGATAATGAGAAAACACCTGCTCTCTAGCAAACAGAGGAAACCAGGCCATCTGACACCTCCAGGCCTGTGTCTGGATATCATGGAGCTAGCCCCATCTCCTCAGCAGCTGTGGTCTGACCCCAGCCTGCCTCAGTCTCCAAAAGTGGAAGTGGATGCCTAACATGCACAGAGTCAAGAGCCCTGCACAGAGGTTCAGAAGACACAGGCTTCAGGTTCTGAGTGCTGACACTCCTGGTCTTGTGACTGTGGCTGTTTTTAATGAACTAACTCCTCCTCTCATCTGTAACTGAAAATAACACACCTCCTTCACAGGTGATGGTGGAGAGGCTGTGAGATGCGGTTGCTACAGAGCTCAGCCCCACACTTCTGTAGAAGTGCTCAGAGCACATTAGTTCCCTTTCAGCCTTCCAACGCTGGAGGTCTTTTCCTTTTCAACGATTGAGCACCAATGGCCAGACTTTTAAGGTTTGTCTTCTGAGCCTCATATATCAGATGAGTTACATTTAATAAACCAGAGATGCAGTTTTTCTTGGTTATTGACAGTCTTAGGTTTTGAAGATGCATTGCCTTCACTGCATTTTAGTCTCAGTACATCACTAAAGTGACAAGCAGCTTTCCCCAGAATGTATCAGGAATTCTGTTTCTTAGCAACGCCCTTCCCACAGGCGAGAAAAGGCAGAACACAATTCCCTTTGGGCATTAGGAGTCTGCTCATAATACTGAACATGTGGCCAACGTTCCCTCAGATGCAGAATAAGAAACCAATTCCCCACCTTTGAATTGCCATCCTTCAAAGGAAAGCTTTTGAGAAGTTTAGCACATTTCTCATCCAGGGCATGCTATTTCAGGGCTTATTTTGCAAGATATTACAGAATTTTAATGTATTAGGTCTCATGGTCTTGCTTGTTATGATTCAGAACCAAGAATGAAGCTTTTCTAATTCTAAGCTCTTCCCTCCTACTACCTCCCAAGTTCATCGAAAGTATACAACTTGCTTGTTCCAAATACCAGCTGAGCTCTTCAGTTTTATATTCTAGAGTTCAGAAAATAAAAATTTTTTAGTTTTGATCGAGCATAATTTCAAGTCATTGTGAGTGTGAGGTTCATTTAAGGGCTAAAAATCTAAATAAATCTAGTATTTAAAATATTTTATTGATTTATTTTTCTACCAAAGGATAATAGCTAGTATATTTATTAAGAAATGACATCCCAGGTACTCTGCTGCATCTTTTGCAAAGTTTTTATTTATTTATTTATTTTGGGGTGAGAACTTAGGGCTCTACTGATTCTTATTTATGCCCCATAAAAGTCTTGTGAACAAGCATTAATTCTCATTAACCAGGGAACTGAAGCCTAGAAAAGTTAATTTTTTTTATTAATATGTACTGGGGTACATTGTGACATTTACCAAAGTTCTTACAATATATCATAGAGAAGTTAATTATTGAACTCAATGTCACACAGTAAACAGAGCCATACACTTGAGTAACATTGATCTTTGCTCTCTTATATTTTATCCATTAGTTTCCTTTTATTTATTTTTTTGGCAGACTAGGGTTTGAACTCAGGGCCTTGCACTTGCTAGGCAAGTGCTCTATATTTGAGCCACAACCCTAGCCTGGTTTCCTTTTTATAAAACTATTTTTGCTTTGTGTTCTGCTCATGGCTCCCTTTGCTCTATTTTGCTGAATCTAATCAAATGAATACATAAAACCACATGTAACTTTACATTTCTAAGAAAGATGGTGCTCAGTAGTTACCCAGAGGAACTTGAATCCATCCAGAATTAAAACTTAGTCCTTTCACACATTACCTGTATATGGGGAAAGTATGTTGTCAATGCAATAAAAAAGAACCAATTAGTTGTGAGTTATTTTCTGAGCACATAACTTTCTTACCACTGAGCCAAACTATTTTTCAGCTGTTTGATAATCATGGTAATTGACCACACCTTTTATGTCTACAATTTTGTTGTGCTCCATGGGTTACTAGGTGACTAGCAAGCAAAATAAATATGGTCACATTTATTTAAAGTGTGTTCTCATCTGATGGATCTAATTTTTTCTTAGACACCTGACACTTGAATGGCTGCCATATTCTATGACTAAAAACAGTCTCACCATTATAATTTAATAAACTAACCCTTAGTGACCCTTAACAGTCACATGGTCACTCCAGCAGATACACTATCTGTTATGCTTTTGGCTCAATCCAATAACATGCATTACCATTCAGTTACATATAAAGTAGCATCTTGGGAAGGACTGTTCTCTTTCTACATACAGAAATGTATGCATGTGGATAAATATCCATGTATGTATATATTAAATGGAATGTCTTAGGGCCTGATGCACAACATGTAGTAGGTAGGGTGCTTGTGATGAGAGGGTACATTAAATACACATTGCTTTTAACTACTTCAAGATATCAGTTCATTGTCTGAGACATATAGTCTTATCTTAAGGGCTATTAAAAAGCAAATTCTTCACATACAAATAAATAAAAGTTGTACTTTGTACATGAAAATAAAAATGAGAGGAAATGGATTATGCAAACTTTCACCCTCCTCTCAGGCAGGCTTACTTGAGCTGGGCTGACAGTCTGTGACTACAGAATGGAGACAGGCTCAGTGGCTCCAACAGTTCTCAGTCCCAAATTGTGGCCTCAGTAGAGGTTGCTTCAGGCCACTTTGTGTTCTATTGTGCAGAGGAAAGACAATGTTCGCATTCAGAACTGAATTCCATGGGTGTACTCAAGGTCATATATGATTCTCAGAACAGTTAAAATTCTGATCTGTTATCAAAGTATAACTGAATTCTAGGGAGAATGTCAATGACCTTGAATCACTCTAATTTATAAAATAGCAAATCTCTTCATAACTTTGGTAGTTGTGACCCAGCACAATTTAAAATAAGAATGATAGACTAGCTTTATACAGATTAGTTCCCATTTCAAACACAGAGAAATGCTGGATAAATACAATTTTAAAAAAATTATTACATAGTTGAGCTTGAAAGAAAAATCCTTAAGTTTCAAAAATGAAAAGGGGAATTCAAAGCAGGTTACACCACTATTGATGGGTAGATGTGTCTGAGGGCAAGGGCTGTGGGTTCAGCACCTACAGGAGGCAACTGCTTGAGTCCCAGTTAGACAAGGAACTAAAATCCACACATAATGTCAGGACCCCTGGAAAGACCTTTCTTTGAGTGAAGGGGACCAAGAAAAACCTTCAACTTCTAAGGTACAGTGGGGGAACATTTGCTATCTGCCTGTTACTCTGGGTTGAGTCAAAAACCAAAATGCTCCCATGAGAAACAGGAACTGCAAGCCTGCACTTTACAGAGAATCCAGATTAGCTCCATACTCTTCATATAGGATGTCCAAAGTTGGAATTTAACATCAAACACTCATTTCTGGAACCCCTGGGGTTATTCTATGGGGAGACTCCCAAACGCAGGTTTTTCATGTGAGAAAAACCAAGTGTTGACCACAGAATTAGAACCCCCATGAAGAAAGGGTCTGACATGGAGCGAGCACCTAACAGGAGGCTTGGCACCCTAAGAACCTGAAATAGGACAAGCAAAGAGGAGCAGGAAGTGGGGGTGTTGAAAATGATATGTTATGTGGAAACTGAAAAAAAGAACAGGCAACTTGACAAAAAAGCAGAACTTGCAGAAATAAGAACGTAGGCACCGAAATTTAGAAACTCAAGAGATAGTTAACACAGTAGATTCAATAGGAGATAATTTGTGAATGTGAGAAAAATTTAAGAAAATCGGAGTCTAGTATAGAGCAGTGGGAAACATGGAGTGGGAGTTTCAAAAAGAAATGATTAGGAGAATGAGAAAGAGTCAATAGACAAAGATATTAATGGGTCATCACTTGCTAGAACCAGAGTGAAGAATCATACTGAAGTTACAAGCAGGATAAGTAAATCCAGACATAGTCATGTCATAACGCAATTACAGAATACCAGACAGAGAAAAACCCAAAAGGAAATGAGAAAGAAAAAGTGATTACCCATGCTGGAACGAAGAAAGACAGAACACAGCAGCACTACAGGCTCAAAGACAAGGGGTGGGCATGGTTCAAGTGGTAGAGCTGGAGGCGCTCAATCCCTAGTACCTCAAAAAAAAAAGAATTATCTTCCAAACCCTTAGGAAAAAAAGTGTCAGTGTCACGTAGTTTAACACACACACTACCCTCTTTCCCCTGCCTCCCGAAGAAGAATATTAAAGGAAATACTTTAGAAAAAATAAAATTTTTCACAGAATTGGGTACAAGTAATGAGTAGTGCTACCAGCAAAACATTTGAGTGCAGTCCATGGGGGTGGGGACAGGTTTAAAAGCAAATTCACAAACGCCTTGGATTTGTGTGACAAGAGTTAGGCCACTCTAAGCTGCGCTAAGTATAGCTGTTAAGATGCATCATTTTCCCAGTATGATCATAACAAATACTTCAAATTTGACAGCTTAAAGAACAGAAATTTATTCTGTCCTGGAAAGCCACAAGTTCAAAATAAAGGTGTTGCTGGGGTTGGTTCCTTTTTTTTTTTTTTGGTAATAGCTTCACCATGCGGTGGGTCAAATGGGATTACATAGTGTGCCTGTTGTCAGGCACTATGATTACTTTCCCATCTGGCTTCTTTTAGTTGAATGTTTGTAAGGTTTCCCTATGTGGTCCTACATAGTTATAATCTGTTCATTATCATTGCTGTGCTGTCAGGTTTTGTGAGTACACTCAAATTTGGGGTACTTCCAGCTGGGACTACTATATGGCTTTGAGTCATAAGTATTTCTGTATTTGCATCCTGATAAGCCTGCACCTGAGTTTTTTTTAAAGCAGTGATTCCCATATTTCTTGGTATCAAAATCTCAAAAACTGAAAAGTTTTTAAATTAAATTTTTTAAATGATAAATTGAGATTTATTGGATCATTCATTTAAAAATAAGCCCAATATATGTTACTTTTGTTTCCTGAGGATCCCATAACAAATTACCACAGGTTTGGTAACTTAAAACTTAAGGAGCTGGGAGCTCATACTTACAATTCAGCTACTTAGGAGGTGATCAGGAGGATGGAGGTTGAAGGACAGCCCCAGCAAAAAGTGAGTGAGACTCCCATCTCAACAAATAAGCTGGGTGTGGATGCATGCAACTATAATCCCAGATATATGAGAGGCATGGCCCCAGGCAAAACCAGGAAACCCTATCCAAAAACTAAATATAGCCAAAAAGGGTTGGGGGTGTGGCTCAAGTGGTAGAGCACCTGCCTAGCAAGCTGAGACCCTAAGTTCAAGCCCCAGGACCACCAAAAATAAATAAATAAAAATAAAAATGATTCTCTCACAGTTGTAGAGGTTGAAATCCAAGTGCAGCCAGGGTTGGCCCCTCCCAGAGGCTCTAAAGACACAGATCTGTTCCTCTCTTCCAGTTCCTCAGCCCTCAGCACTCCGTATCTTGTAGCTACATCACATATCACAGACTGTGGTCTCCTCCTCTTCACCATCTTCCTCAGTGCCCAGGCTTAGCATGGGGAAATGCACTCACATGTTCATATGCTCAAATCATTTTTATCTGTGACAACATTAAGACCAGACTAAAAAGAGGCTACAGAATTAAAAGAAAAGAAATCCCTTTCAAGCTAAATGTCCCTCTGGTAGCTAAGGAATTGGTTTTCTGAATCAGTTTCATGGAGTTTTTTGTTTATTTGTTTAAGTACAGACTCTAGATGGCTAAGAAGATTAACAAAGTTTGAAATTCTAATGTTTACTTTTGATTCCCTACTCATTTTTCTTCTTTGGGAATACCACATTCAACAATAACGATAAGTTCTTTGAAATTCCTGACTACAAAGAACAGAGCTTGTTACAAACCTATTGGGTTAAGATTTTTAATCTTGGGAGCACAACATCTGAATGCACAGCAGGGGATACAATTCTGATCAGTTAAGAGTACAAAAAAAGGGGCTGGTGGAGTGGCTCACATGGTTAAGAGCACCTGCCTAGCAAGTGGGAGGCCCTGAGTTCAAACCCCAGTGCCCCTGTGTCACCAAGCAAAAAAAAAAAAAATCCACTTGCAAACACACACAAAAGATAGTGCTACAATTTTATGTAAGGCAAAATACAAGTTGCAAAATAAAATGCAACATACAATTTTTGAGCATAATGATGTCCAAAAAATGAAGACAATTCAGTCAATAGACTATGCAGTTTTCTCATTTTAAGGAAGATGTGGTGCTATGCAGCCCTCGCGGTGTGAACTGTTTAAAAAGTGGACAATGTAATATATAAGAATTTTAATTTAAGAACTGCTTCAATTCTTATTAAACCTAAAAATCAGAAAACTGCCCTCAGAACATAGTTGAAAATGAGCTTTGCTTGCCTTCTTCCCACTCCCCAAATACTGCCCGTTTCAACCACAAGATCAAATCATTCATCTTTTCATCCCTGACTTACTCCATAAATAAATTTGTTGAATGTGTGAACTCCCTTGATAAACCCCTCCAGACTCACTTCTCTTGAGTCATGGACACTGTCTCCCTATCCAACACTTCAGGCCAGAAGGGGTGAAGTGCCCAGGTTCTGACCCTACAGTATTCTTTCACATCACCTTCCAGAACAAAATGGCTACAACCTAAGAAAAAGCAACACATTCAATATAGAGCACTGAGGTGTTATAAAGGTAACCAGCAATTCTCTTATTTTGATTTTCAGGACAAATTGACTCAGATGGTTCATTATTCAAACATGGGGAATAATTTCAATAAAAACTTAAAAAGATAATTCAAAGACTCTTCCTAACCTCACTCCCTCTACCCCTGACAATGACTACACTTCACATTTTTTTTTTTTGTGGTGCTGGGGTTTGAACTCAGGGCCTACACCTTGAGCCACTCCACCATCCCCTTTTGGTGATGGGTTTTTTTGAGATAGGGTGTTGCGAACTGCAATCCTCCTAATCTCTGCCTCCTACCTGGGTAGCTAGGATTACAGGCGTGAGCCACCAACACCCAGCACATTTCTAAGGCCTTGTTTAAAACGGCAGAAAGACAAATTTCACCTAATGAAAATTTTTGTTTCTATTTCAGTTATCACAAGTTCTAGATTCAAAAGAAAGCAAATCCGCAAAAGCAATGAAGATTAACTAGACTTAGATTTGCGGAGCCACCAGAGACAAGATGAAGAGAGTAACTTAAAGTGGCAATATGTTTCTAGTTCAACTTTCTTTCACTGTTGTTGATGATGGTGACAGCTGGTACTCAGACTCCTACATCACCAAAAAGTCATTTTCTTTGATGTCTATGATGCCTATTTTAAAATACTCCTTAAAAAAGGGTTGTTGGGAGAAAGTTTTGCCTTAAAAGTTTTTGCCTTAAGTAACTCTGCAGTATCTGTTTTGACTGGATAATGTAAGGTTGAAGGCAAAAAGAAAAGTCCATAAAAGCTGGGTGTGGAGATTCACACTCTGTAATCCCAGCTACTCAGGTGGCAAAGGCAGGAAGATCTTAATTAAGTACAAAGCCAGCCTGGACAAAGCTAGTGAAAACCTTTCACAAAAACAAAATCAAAATCAAAAGGGCTGTGGGTATGGCTCAAGTGGTAGAGAACTTGCCTAGCAAGCATGAGGCCTTGGGTTCAATCCCCAGTTACAATCCCCCCCCCCCTCCCCGGCCCAACACAGCCTATACTCTACTCTAGGAGAATATGCTAGGTGAGCAATTCTGAAGCTTCTGTATATGTGAACTGGGGTCCAAAAATAACCAGTTATATATTGTAGGTAATGGGAATTAGGTTTCCCGGTGGTGAGAACAATTGCAAAGGAGCCAAGAGGATCACCATTTTGAGACCAGCGTGGGCAACACAGTAAGAGACCCTGTCTCAAAAAGCTAAACAAACAAACAAATAAAAAAAGGCAGTGAAAGGGGAAAGTTAGTGAATTCCATGGGGCTGAATTAGGAGCTAAAGCTGAAGATATCAGTATGAACTGATTTATTTTACATACAGATATGGACACCATTATAGATGTGTGCACAAGCGTGTTCATGCACATTCTGTATTTCACAGTTCTGCTTGCTGAGATCAAGAAGCTGTGACACACCACCAGCAGTGACCACATCCAGCACCCAGATCTTGGATTCAAATGCTGTTTTCCAACGAAAGGAACAGGTTTTTGGAGAAATGGCTGATTCTAAAGCTAGGGCAGAGGAAATAAAAAATGAGCTTAGAGCACTTTTGGTGGAGGGGTTGAGTCAGGGACCACCACAAGGGCACAGTTACCTGTTAAAAGCATAAGTACTCTCTTTTGTATCCATCCCAGTGGAATAGCTTGGTCATAAAACACCAGATAAGGTTAAAGGCTATAATTTACAAAGTTGAAGCCCCTTATGACTAGACTGACTAAAACTGAGAGTTCAAGATGGTCATACAAATGACCCTAAAAGATACCAAATCCCTCAAGATCAATGGGTAAACAAAGACAAGGGGAATTATTACCAAGGAAAATCTTTTTCAAACTGGTGTCCCACAGACAATGAACCATCACCGAACTTCAGCCCATCCCCCCAGTCAATAAAATAAAATGCTCGATTTTAAGTTTCCTACATTCTAACATACTGTTTAATTCTTGACCTAATTCTTATTTTCAGAACTTACCTGTGTAACTGGGAGGTTAGACAGGAGGCCTTTGTGACATGGCGCTTGGTACTGCAGGAACTGTTATTGACTGAACCCTAAACTGGTTATTACTTTTACTAAAGAATCAAGGTGACTATGGCATCCCAGAGCCGACTCCCAGCAGTCTGCTGAGCTGGTAATGAGGTTGTCTTGGCTGGGTGCTACCCAGAACCCTGGGAGAGGTGACAAACAAACCAGGGGGAATTGAATGCTCATGATGTTTGGAGCCAAAGGATTTCCTGAATTTTCTGAATCAGACAACCTTTTCAAACAGGTAGGGGCCATCCCTGGAGCAATCCCTACACTATATGAAGACCTGAGGTGTAAGCTCTCCCTGGAGGGCTCCATTGGCTTCACCTACAACACACCCACATGAAGCTCCACATGCTGCTCCACATGCCCTGCTACCACTATGTGGATACCCAGGTAATATCTTCTGCATACTTAAGGACAAGGACTCTACTCTATGACTTCAGGATCATCCTGCTATCCATCCACAGCCTGTCGGAATCCAACACACACAACACTTTCAACACTAATGGTGCTGGACTATGGAGTCACTATACAGCCTGTAAGCCCCTGTGAGAAACCTGCTCACAGCATGTTACCTGACCTAGCTTATCCAGACTCTCTCCCTGCATTGTCTTTTCATTTTCCCTTATATGGTCCTTTCTTTGGTTTCTGTACCTTAAGCCAAGGTTTTATTTTTCTGTTTTTTAATTGTCCCCAATTGAGTCTTGTGGTAAATACATTAAAAAAAATTGCCTTTAAAAAGAAAAAAAAGGAATCGGAGTGCCACATTTTAGAGCTACTCTGGATTCCAAGTATCTTTGTAGCTTTATAATCTACAAAGACAACTTTAGAGATAGAGAAGATTTTAAAAATAAATACCAATCCTAAGCCCAATTAGTGTTATCAAGGAGAAAAACCTGCTATTAAGAAAATTGTATTTGGTATTTAGAAAAAGAAAAAAGTAGAAATGCCCAAAATAAATCAAGTAGAACTCATTTTATCATAGACACTAGGAAATTTTATAATTCTTCTATAACAGACTGAATCATATTCCCATTGTTAGTTTTGGCAATAATGTCAAATACTTTAAACAACTTCACCTCCAACTTACACCAAATAATACAGTGGTTAACAGGCATTTTGACTGTACTTGTGGAACCACTACACATCAAATTCTTCTTTAATGAGAACATGTGTTTTATAGTTCTTATATAAGCATAAATGTTTAAGGCAGGAAGCTTTATATTTGACTTTTGGGATCAAATGTAAACCAAATATTAGGAAAATCCACTAAACTGATATAGCTATAAAAAACTGCAATTTTATGAGAAATTCTTACTTACAAGAAACTTTATCATAAACACACAATAAGGTAATGTAGCACCAAAGGAATCAATTATTTCACTTAACTCCCAAAGCCCTAAATTTCTCAACACATACCATTTTACCCAGTAGCTCAGAGATGAAAAAGATGAAATGCAGACCTTGGAGAAACAGAGTATCTTAAGGGCCTGCTAAGACTTTTTTTGGTTTGGATCCTTAAAAATACAATATTCTTTTCCTTATAAATCTGATAAGATTTCTTTTTAAATGTCTGTGGTGGTAGTGGGGGCAACCACAGAACTGGACCTTGACAAGAATGACAAAGCCCAAACCTATCACAGGCGAGGTACACTGATGACTCACGAAGGACAAACCCATGACACTGTGTTTTGATTTATGCTAAATTTAGAAATTATGACCAACACATTTTCTGGATTAAAACTTTTTGTATTACATAACTTAGACATAAGGAAAAGACAAGAACTACCTTGATTTTGTGATTTAAAAGTAACAGAAATAATTATGTGAAACTTACCTTCATTGCAATACATATTACTACATATACTTCTGAAACTTCATCTCAAACACTGAAAAACAAAATCAGTTAAAAGTAGTCTTGCATCTATGCACTTCATCAGTCTTCCTGTATCTTTAGTTTCTATGGTCTTCACTAGAAAAAAAATCAGAATAAACTATACACAAATGATTTTTATATAGCAGAATTAATAATAAATGCTATCTCTTAAATTCTAAGTAATCAAGTAAGTGGGTTTTTTTTTTTTTTTTGAAAAAAGGAGTTCAGGAGTCCACTATCAAATACTTCAAGATAGCACCCATCAAGAATTAAAGAATTAATACACTTAAGTTTGGTGCAAGTTTAATTTTATTAAACCTTACAATGAATGTTGTGGCATAGCATTTTCCACTGTGTGACAATTTATTGGCTGGCTTCTGAATACAGTACTTCTTTTGAAATATACACAATGGTAACTGACGAAAGGGAGAGAAACTAGTTGTTTAGTGATACGTGAGGACAAAAAAAAAAGAAAGAAAAAGATGATGACCAATTAAAGTAGTGTCCTTAGTTCCAAGCAAGAGTGCTGTTATAGTGTATAAGAATATGTTATTATCTCATCCAGTCCCTGCAATTCTAAGAAAATTAATTACAAGGATTATTATATTTACAAATTTAGCCAAGGGTTTTTGCTGGGCAATATGATTTTTAAAGAGCTACTTTTTCAAATAGAACCTACACAATTTTTCAAGTTACAGTAAATGGGGGTTTCTAAAATATAAGAGATTAAGGTGGTCTCTTTACAAGTGAGAGACCTCTTAACTTCAAAATCAAGAGTATCAAATTATCTTTGTTTATTTGGGCTTATGCTTGCCAGATTTAAGCAGCTGAAAAATAACCATCTGAAAATCTGTAAGCCATTTGTCTTTAGAAAGTAGACTAGCATCTGAGTAAATGATCATTAACAGTGGACCATCTCACACTCAAGAGGCCCAACAGGGCATTTTTGTAGAAATGTGACTAAAACTTACACCTTAACTCCAACCAATCATGCTACAGTGTACAGTTCAGTTTGTCTAAAGTAAGTACAACTGGTTCATTAAATATTTAATTTACTCATCTGCCATATAAAAACCCACAAATTTAAGAATTTTATTTTATTCAATCTTACAATTTTGAGAATACTTTCTGATGAAGGATTTAACAGTACCTGAGGTCACGTTTATAAACCAACTTTCTCTAAAATATTATCAAGGACAATTTTGATCTATTAAATAAACTGAATTTTCAAGAGCTCCCAACGGCGTTTGTGGACAGAGCAAACAGAGAAGGGAGAATTACATCCTAATTAAATTATGGCATTGCAGTTATCAAGACTGAGGACTAGTTCCACTAGTTCTAAGTTATCTATTCTTAGTGGCAGAACAATGCTATTTAAAGAAATCCTTATTCTACACTAGGGTTAAACAATTCAAGTTCACCTGCAAGAGAATTTAGATGTGCCTTACTCTAAGAACATATAAGCCCTACTCACTCCCCCAAAAAAAGGAGGAGAGACTATTAAGTCACTTAAAAACCCACCTATTATCTTTTACCCGCAAACTGAATCAACCAAAGTAGATTTACGATACTGGCAAGGTTTTCCTTTTTGTAAAAAAGTAATTCATGCATATATACTTCTCATACCACAAAGTTAGAGGCAAATGATTTCAAAATATTAATGTTTGATATTTCTAGAATACCTATCTAAGTCACAAATTATTCTTAATATATGTGGCAGTTAAAGTATTTCATAAAATTTGTTCATAGTAAATAAGAGAGTAAAACGTCTTTGTCAAAAGGTTGGAAAGTGCCCATTAACAGCTAATTCATTTTTTTCAGTGATGAAATTAAGTTTATGACCCAGTAAAATGAGTAAGGATACATTTTTAAAAATTAAGCCTCAATCATTTAACCCAACAGTGTAATGTTCTTTATTTACTACTCTTCATTACAAGTTTTTGCTGGAAATAAAGATGAAGATAAATCTAATGAGGTTTGCCATGATGACTTAAAGTAGCATTACATCAACCCTCAGAATAAAACGTCAACACAAATCCAAGTGAGTGATACCAGTTCATTAAACTCACAGGTAAACTGAATTTTTCTCAACTCAATAAGGAGTATTTTATTCAGAACAATTTCATTAAGACATTTGCAGGGCAAATATACCATCATAAATTTTATCCTGAATAACAATAAAGTGCTGAATGATAATTACCTGAATCTTTTTTAGTACTTTTCAGTAATCTTTTCTTAAGTTAAAAGAGCCCTTTCTGTGGCATTAGCACATCTGTAGAGGGAAGGAGGAGGGAAGAAAGAAAAGCTAACTTTCAGTGAGGGAACAGAAAGCACTGTGCAACCTTTTGTGTTTAATTGGGGTGACAAATAATTGAGACCAAAGTAATTCATGCAAGTTATCTTTAAAAGGTATACATAAACTTGAAGAAAAAAAAACACTGTTACTGACCTTTGATACTACAGCATAATTTGAGTTCTAAAATGCCTTAATTATCCTAGATGCCTAGATCTGGCTTGGCAAGCATCATGCCACTGACATGCTTTAGCTCTTTTTGTAAGTAAAAGTGATTTGCAGTTCAATGACTGAATATTTCAATGTGACTTGTTAAGCTGTGTGATACTTTAAGGTTAAATTGAAGCAAATTCTCTACACCTAGTCACACCATCAGCACAAGCAGGACAACGCTGGAGCAGCATGAAAGGCGGGTCACTTTAGAAAGAGTCTTCCTTTTGCATGATATATTAAGATGACAGACCTAAATTTCAACTGGGTTAATGAGTTGTAATAGTTTCCCAAATTTAGCACACAAAAATTTCTGTGGATTAGAGAAAGAAACCTCGGATGTGAAGAAAAGCCAAAACCAAAAAAAACTTGAGCTCTAACCTGCAGCTCTAAAACTTCTCATGCTACAAGAGTACTTTCATAAAATGAACTTTGTAACAAACTTAAGAAAACAGTGTTTTTAGTTGAAGTTGACCAACTGCTGCATAGAAATTATGCTAACATACAACAGTCAAGTTTAAGCCGGTGCATAGAGAAGATAAAGCACTTATGGTAACTGCAAATGGTAACAAGTTCATAAAATTTGTATGACCTAGTATGGGTCAATAAGGGGAAAAACTGTGGTAGAAATGGTCAGGGAAAAAAGTAGAAACAGGGGCGAAGCTTGGAGAAGGAAGAAGCAGGAAAAAAGGACTTTCAATTTGTATAAAATTCACAAACTAGCAAGTATAAAGACACCACTGAAAAAGTTAACTCTGTCCCAAACACTCAACAGCAAACAAAACCAGAATGAATAAGCCTTTGGCAGACATTTTTAGAAATTTGGGTATGACATTACATTTCTCAATAATTCACAAACAATATATTATGTGGTATATTTATATTAAATACTGGGAAACCAACCCTGTAAATTTGATGCTTAAAATGTGTTAGCCAATGAGAGCACAATGTATCAAGCTAAATGAATGCTGGTGTTATCACAACAGTGCTCATTTATGAAACAACTGTTACCAATTCGTGCTTTAACAGTGTTAAAATACAGTCAGATTATCATCTATGAAGTGAAACAAAGGTCTCTAGCTTTTCTGGGATATGCCCTTTATAGTATATTCTATGATTCACGATGACACGAGCAGCAAGACACTGCAATGTGGTATGATTTATGGGCTGGATCAAATTTTTAGCTATTTCCTTCTCGTCCAGCAAGTCACTAGCAGTTTGTTTGTGCAAGTTTGTAGCATCAAAATGTGCACCTGATTTAATAAGGAGATTCATGATGTCTGGATGGTTGTTCAGAGCAGCAATATGTAGGGGACTGTTGTCATCAGAGTCTCTGACATTCACATCAGCACCGCATTCTATGAGAATCGCGGTAACTTGCAGAGATGGAAATTTACAAACAGGGTACCGCCCCACACATGTAGTATTCTTGTCCACAGCCAGATGAAGAGGGCTGAAGTTATTCTTCCCCCGTGGATGCAGCTTTAGAAATCTGTAGATAGTCTGCTTCTTGAAATGGTCCTGTTCTAGAGTACAAGGAACTTTTTCTAATAAGCAAATTAAGTGTAAAATGATGGAAAGAGCCTTATTTAACTGCAATGGGTCTGCTGGACACTGAGTTTGTTTGATAGCTCGCTCAATTTCAAGGACACTTTTGCACAGTATGCCCATCAAATCATCAAATGTAACAGTAGTACCCAGTAAACCTTTAGCCCTATCCTGGAGCATAAAGGAGAACAGTTCTGCAAAAGACAGTAAGCTACTGGCAGTCATTGGGCTCAAAGGGTCCAAATTGTTCTGCTGCATATCCAAAGCATACTTCCACAGGTTGATACAGCGTTTAAAATTTCCAGAGTCTGCATAGACAGCGCCTCTGTATCTGATATAGTAAGAGGTATCAGGATGAGAAGGACCGAGAATACGTTCTCTAATCAACAGTGCTTGCATTCTCATCTCATCAGGGTCAGCAATAAGACCTTCCAGCTCTTCTGCACTGTTTACCTCCTTGGCATAATCATAAGCCATTATTAGTGTCTGTGGCACTGGTTTGCTAATTATATTAGTCCTGTCACTGTATCTCATGTTCATTGCCTTTTTCCAGTATTTCAAAGCCCCAAGTAGATCTCTTTTTTTGTCTACAAATGTAGCTCCCAGAAGCTCTAGTGCATTGATACGTTCTGTCTTGCTGGTCTGTGCATGGTGTGTCAGAAAATCCACAATATTTGTGTGGCCAGTCACACTTGCTGAGAGAAGAGGAGTCATTCCATAGCCATCCTTTTCCATCCTGGCACAATACATAAGAAGCATCTTCATGATGTCCAAACTTCCAGACTCTGCACAATCATGCAATGCAGTATTACCTTTAAGAGAGGGAAAAGAAGAACGCACTTTGAGGGACCAAGTGTAACATAGAACACATACAGACTTCAGAACCTAACTCAAAGCTGCCTTTAAGTAGGACTGACCTAATTTGATTACAAAGGAAAAAACAACTATCCTCAGCACCTGAAATCAGTCTCAAACACACAGCAGGAACTGAAGAAAGTATCTGTTAAACTTAGTGAGTAAATAACATGACTGAATTGGTATGAAAAGAAAAAACCCAAAGCCATCAGACAAAACTCAAAATTAATCCATGGCTTCTTGCTATTTTTCATTAATGTTTTCAAGTGCATATTCTTTGACTAAAAACAGATTAAATAAAATTATCAAGCTAACTGGAGTTTTGATGACAGTCACTTAACTTTCAGGGTCAGCCTTCACATTCTTGAGCAAGGAATCTAGTTTACAGTATCTAAGACTCTTCCGTTTGATTCTATTAAGGAACAGAAATTATTGTTTCATATTTCTGATTGTCAAGTGAGTGTGAGCTGTTTTAGCCAAAATTCTTGGTTACAAAGTACCTTCTCCAAAATGTTTCAAGAAAAAACAAGTCCATTGAAATCTGAAAAATATGTGGGTGGTTCAATATGAACTTTAAAAGGAGACATTTGAAATGTCCTTTCAGAATGGATTATTTCCCATTGTAATTTAGTTTTTTTAAAGAATCTTTTTAGATGTACTAAATGTTCTAACACTGTCCTGTTCTTCCCACACATAAATGAGAACTGACAACAGGCACTGGCATGTTAGTAAAAGCCTATATGAAACATATGAAGACATTACAAACATCAGGTATTTTAACTAATGAAAAACACTTCACTGCTCATCAAAAGAAAAATTATGCAGACCCTTGATATGTATGTACAATGTTTGTAGAAAGTTCAACAGTGAGTCATTTCAGGCACATCTACAGAAAGGTGTTAACACAGCAGGCTGAGATGACCATGCTTGGAAAGACGTCCATGCAAGGTTGACCTTTGGCATCTGGGAACTCGACTGGTACAAACAGTTCTCTACACTGATATAAACCTTTCCCTAAATGATAAGGGTGGCCCACTCTCCCAAAACTGTAATTTATTGTTCAACACCTGGTTTCCTTCTAGGGATCTGAAATTCTATGTGTGTTAGGGAAAGGACATCTATGAGACTAGTCCCTAATAATAACCTTAAAGTGCTGAGTCTGTTATGGGTTTCCATAGACAAAAACATCATGCATATTTTCATGGTTGGGGAAGAGTGTACTCTGTGACCCTTCATGAAACTGAGAGAGAATAAAGCCTGCCTGCACACATTTCTCTACCTCAACCATGCCTTTCCCCTATGTGTGTCTTTATAACATCACTGAGTTAAATCTTAGCCATGAGTATAATGCTATGGGGAAATCACCTTCAAACATGAGGGCAGCTTTGGGGACCCCTCCCCACAGCATGTGTACCAGAGAGTAGTTTAAACCTGAATGCTTCAAATAACAAATCTACTCTATAACTAAAGTTAGAAACATCAATCTTTTCCTAAATTTACCTTGATTGAATCTTCTTGGTATCCATAAGGAATATTCATTGCGACCTAGAATTTCATTGATCTACGATGAAATGGTGTCTGATAAAAATGTTTTTAAAATGTATATGGTAACCAAGCACTGAGAGCACCCAGAACTTCTGTTTACTGATGTTCATTTGTCCAAAATCATTTCAATCAAATATGACCACTATACCAAATATGTTTCTAAGAGTTGAACTGAATCCCTCTATTCCCATTTTTTCCCTAAGAAACAGGTAATTAGGTAAAGAGAAATCTGAACAGAAAGAGAAGGCTGACATAACATTCTTTCTCTATTCAGAGTGACATAAAGATAAGACTGCAACAAAAGTCAGTTTTAGAATTGACTCGATATCTGTATTTCTTGGAAAACAGACAACATGTATACTTTGAGTAAACCCATATATAAGGGACAAAAAGTGACTTAAAAATTAAAAAACAGAAGACTTTTACATCAGTAATGGCAGAAGGAAGAAATATGATCACCCTGTGCTAAGAACTAGAAGAGCTAGGCATGGTGATGCACACCTATAATTCCAGCATTCAGGAAGCAGAGGTAATAGGATGGTGAGTTCAAGGCCAACCCAGAAAAAGAGTTTTTTTTCATCTTTCTCCTTATTTGTTTTGCTTGTTTTTGTTTTTTGAGGCAGGTTCTCACTATGTAGCTCAGGCTGGCCTTAAACTTATAATTCTCCTGCCTCTACCTACTGAGTGCTGGGTGTATATCACCATAACCAATAAAAAAGTTAATTTAAAAAATCTGCTTGACAACATGTAAGAGACAACAAGGGAACAATGTCTAGGTGAATGACAGCTAGAAAAAGTCCAGAATTTGGGGTGTCTTTCCTTCAAGGGCTCTGAAGAGTTCTGAAAGAGATAACTGAAAGACTGAGGACTTCTAGCTTTGCAGGGCTAGAGAGGAAAGCTGGGGTCCATAGCTCACCAGGAAGGGAACGTGAAAACTCCTCACCCTGTAGCTAAGCTCCACAAGGCTAACCTAGGAACCTCAGGTGAGCTCCAACAGTCACATGGGAGGTGAAACAAAACTCAATGAAAGAATCCAGGATTGCTGGTACATGAAATCAAAAACCAACAGCAATAATACCAATTAGAGAAGACATTGTTATACTAGAACTCAAATCACTTTTCATATTCATCATATAAAATTGTATGTCCAATCAAAAGTTAACGGATGGAAGAGTAGCTGCCAAAATAGTTCAGTTGGGAATGTTAGACTGAAAAATAATAAATAGAGAGAAAACAAAAACTAGAACAAAAATAAAAAAAGAAGAGAAATGAGAGCTGATAGAAAAGCTCAACAAGACATTCAGTTCATAGAGTTATCAATAGATTTTCAAATCATTGTGCTTACCATATTCAATTTTTTTTAAACTGAGAATTCAACAGAAAACTGGAAACCACAAAAAAGAATCAAATGGACATTCTAGAACTGAAAAACACCGTAGATAGCTTTATTCACTGCTAAACAGAGAATTCGTGAACTAGAAGTTAATTTAAGTCAGATGAAAATAAAGAAAAGTTGGGGCTGGAGGCGTGGCTCAAGTGGTAAAGGAGCTGCCTAGCAAGGTGAAGGCCCTTGTCCAAACCCTAGTACTGCCAAAACAACAAACAAAAAAAAGGTGCAAACTATAGAGAATGGCATGGATAGAAAAGCAGACGAATGCAAGAGGGGTCAACATTTTTAACACCAGAATTCCAGAGAAAGAAAATAAGACAAAAGCAGTAAAGAGATAAATCTGACAAATTTTTGATCCTTCCACAAATTTAATGTTTTACAAACACCAAGGATACAGAAAAGGGAAACATAGTGAAGCACAGTATAGCAAAACTGCTAAAAATTAGGAACAAAGAGAAAAGTCTTAAAAACAGAATTGGGGGGAATCAGCTATCACACGGCAACAATTAGACCAACAGCAAAGTTCTCACTGGGAAGGACAGAAGGCAAAGGACACAGGATGATCTTAGGCACCGAGAAAGCAAGTGGATAGGAGGACAATGAGGAAGAAATCTTTAGTTTTAGAAAGCACTTTATGTGAAGTAAAACTCAATCTGGTGAGTGGGGACACACATGATACATTTTGGGATGTGGACTTTACAAGCCAGAATTATTTCCCTACCCTGCTTCTCCAGCCTCACTTCTTATCATCTCTGGGAATGATACTCCATGAATCTAACCCAGAGGCTGGCAAGGGCTGGAGTACTTTTAGGCCATACATCATGGTGTTAACTGCTATATTCTGCCATGTAGCATGAACGTATCCATAAACAACATGTTAAGTCAATGGACATGACTATATTCCAGTAAAACTTTACTTATGGACTCTGAAACTTGATTTTCATGTAATTTTCAAATACCACAAAATACTTTTCATTTCGCTTTTTTCCCTGACCACTAAAAGAATGTAACTCAGGTAGTACTAAAATAGAGACAGGACACACCAGTTTTGACCCCTGAGACAGTTTGCCAACACCTGCTCTGACCTCAGAAGACATTATCATATCAGTCCCCTTTCACGCGCACAAGACAGATTCCACTTGTTGTAAGAATAAGAATTTCTCCTGGATCAGTTCATTTCCATGTCGGGCCTCTGCTCTTGGTTTTCTCATAATGCACTTTTTCTTTATTTTTTATACTTCCTGTCCTTCAAGTTTCATAGAAACTTCAGCTAATCAAAGGCCTTCTTGGTTATACTATATCAAATTTGTTATTTTTAAAATGACTGGTGAATCACAGTATATCCCATCCTGGTAGATGATAACAGTTAACACCTGCTACTTTAATATTCTATAATACTTACAACAGCACAATGTCACTGCTTTACAAATAGGTTTTCTTAGCTGCCTAGTCCTCTCCCCTACAGATCCCATATTTCTTTTGTATTCTAAAATCAACTAGTACATGGTGAAAGCTAAGATAGTTTCTGAGTTTTTAATACCTGGTATCACAAAAAGTGATTTTAACTTAGCTTCTGAGAAAATAAATTCAAAATGCAAAATTAGAAGGAGGGCACCTTCTTAATTACATTATGGGTTAAGTATACAACCACTATACTTTCATGCCCTAGAAGGCCCTAAAGGTAAATATTTGTAGAGCCTGGAATATTACTTCAAGTTTGGGAAAGAGGCTTTTCTTTTGTTAAAAACCCAATTTTAAAGCAACTATAACTTTTGGGTTGTTTCTCCAAGTCTTTTTATGTGTATGTTTGACCAAGTTAAAATCAGTCTATACACATCTTGGGCATCTTCTTGTGCTGAGGCTACTAGAGAACCTGCACAGCCCCTATCAATTCACTTTTAAAGGGATCATTTTTTTAGTAGCTCAGTCACAGAGCACTCACCTATCATGCACGAGGCCCTGGGTTTGATCCCTAGTATCACAAAAATTATATCAAAGCACTAAATATTTTTAAAAGTTTAT